CCAAAACCATGCCCTGGAGGCCAAAGCCTTCTATGCCATTCCACCACACAGCTCTAATTAACCACTCTCCTCTTTCACTGAGCTTGGATTCCACTGAAGGCCAGAACTTCAAACAGCTCCAGCCTGAGAATGTAAATATGCCTGAATTTTCAAAGATAGCCAGGAATATTCTCTGGCATGCCCATGAGACTCATTCATGCTCAGCACCTGCCTCAGACAAGAAGAACCTTTGCACTTTAATTCCTCTGCATGGGACAAACTCTCATTGATGTGCCTGAGCACTGGAATGATCCACGCCTGAAAATCAGGCTGATCCAGGCTGAAAAGCTCCAGGATAAATTCTTCCCAGGCTAAACATTCCCTAACAGCAACAATCTCGTGTCAGAGGGCACCAATACAAAAGGAAGATTCTGTTTAAACCCTATTGCAACACTCTATTAAAGCTGGGAACACACAGAATTCCATCTCTTAATTGTCTCTTTTTAGACACTGAAATGCTCTGAAATACTTCAGGGATTTAGATGTGTCAGTGACATGCAAAGGAAAAGGAGTTTGGCATCGAATTCTCTTGGTATCTGTGGAAAAGTTGGGATTTTTGGGGTCCCCAGCACTGCAGGAAGGGAGTGTTGAGGAATTCTTACCCGGAGGAAAGAGGGGAAACCCTGCCCATAGTATCCAACAGCAAAGTACTCTGGCTGAGGCCTCATTGCCTTCATGATATTCTCATAAAAAGTAGCTCTTTTTTTCTGGAAAATAAATAAAAAAAAAAGTAACTCTTTTTTTCTGGAAAAAAAAAACAAAACACCAACACAAAACCCCAAACTTTTTTTCCTGGAAAATAATTTAAAAAAAAAAAAGTAGCTCTTTTTTTTCTAGAAGACAAAAAAAACACACCACATTTTCCCTCTGGACACTGCCAGGCTGGAGCTCCCAGCAGCTCTCCCTGACAATGCATTTGACAATTTGCCTTTTGGATCCACTCTCTGCTGCTTGTCCATTTACTTGATTAAATATTTGGTTTGTCTGGACCAGAACCAAGTTCATTTCCTGGTTTGCAGACGTTGAGAACGATGCCATGGCTTTTAGGATTCCAGAAGGATACTTGAAATCCTTAACTGCCTGAAAGCCAATTAAATATAAATATATTCTGAAGCTGAGCAGACACAAATGGTGACAAATGTCAGAGAACTGGCAGAAATAAAACTGGGCAGATGATCCTCCTGTGAGAGAACATAAAGACCATCTGGTTCCACCTTTAATTACTAAAAAATATAATTCAGAACCAAGAGGGTTCTGTAGTTCTGTGTTTTCACACAGCAGTTTTACCACAGAAGTAACGAGGTGATGAGATTTAGGGAGCCTGAAAATACACCTTGCAAATGTTGCTTTATTTGATTAACAGCAAGAACTCTAAACATCTGCCCGTGGCACTGTATTGCTAATTAGGAGGTCAAAACCTACTTAAAAAAACCTATAAAAATATTATTCTAATATTTAAAACTTTACAAAGCCATGGAGGTTACATTGGTTTGTTTGTCTTTTAACATAAATGTATTTTAGGCTTATGCTGCTCAATAATATTAATTTAAACAGTTGGTTTGCCTTTAACATAAATGTATTTTAGGCTTATGCTGCTCAATAATATTAATTTAAACAGTTGGTTTGCCTTTAACATAAATGTATTTTAGACTTATGCTGCTCAACAGTATTAATTTAAGCAGTTGGTTTGCCTTTAACATAAATGTATTTTAGGCTTATGCTGCTCAACAATACTAATTTAAACAGTTGGTTTGCCTTTAACATAAATGTATTTTAGGCTTATGCTGCTCAACAATATTAATTTAAGCAGTTGGAATTGATGTTGGTTTGTCTTTAACATAAATGTACTTTAGGCTTATGCTGCTCAATAATATTAATTTAAACAGTTGGTTTGCCTTTAATATAAATGTGTTTTAGGCTTATGCTGCTCGACAACATTAATTTAAGCAGTCCAGGGTTATGTTGCTTTGCCTGTCTTTGACATAAATGTATTTTAGGCTAATCCTGCCCACCAAGATAATCCAAGCAGCGAGAAGCCTGCTGAAAAAAGAGGATAAAATGTCTTACCAGGAGATTCCCAAGCCCCTCATAATCAAAGACCTTGTTTTCATACATGTCAGCCAACTCCTTGCTCAGCTGGATGGCTTTTTCCCACATCTCCACGGAGGGTGAAGGGAGGCAGGAGGGGGAAGAAGAGCACAAATAACATAAAAGACTCAGTTAAAAGCATCCATGAGCCCAGGCAGGTGAACAGAACTGCAGCTGATTTCCAGCCAGGCAGGACTTTCATGCCCTGCCAGCTCTCCCCCAGCCCCTGGGATGTGCATTTTTGGCAGTGGTTGTTCCACTCAGAGAGCTGCTCATTTGTGGGTCTGAAAGGCATTTACAGAGCGAGGTTTCCACTGGAATCCTGACAGGGAAAACTCAGGCACAGGGAGGTGCAAGGACAAGCCTAAACAGGGAAGAGAAGCCCAGGTGGTCTCTTCCTACAGCAGCACTTCAGCAGCTTCCTGGGCTTTGTCTCATCACAGAATCACGGGATGGTTTGGGTTGGAAGGGATCTTAGAGATCATTGAATTCCACCCCCAGGCTGCTCCAACCCCCAGCCTTGGAACCTCCAGGGATGGGGCGGCCACAGCCTCTCTGGGAATTCCATCCCAGCCCCTCACAGGGAACAATTCCTTCCCACTACCCAACCTAAACCTCTCATCTTTCACCTTAAATCCATCCTAAGGAGACATTCAGCCCTGGGAGAAGCACCTCTCCAAAGTGCAGGGTCAGGATCAGCAGACAATGCCAAAAACCTGACAGACATTCCCCAGGAAAAGCAGGAAAACCCCTCCAGTTTTCTCTCCCACCCAGCATCCTGAACAGGCTTCATTTTCCAGCTGCTCCCCAACCAACAAGGGCACAGAAGGTTCCAGCACCACCAGGACAAACAGCACTAAGCCAGGCCTAAGCTTCAAAACCTGGTGTGGAATCACATCTGCTCTTACCCCTGTCACCAGCCTCAACCAGTGACATCCACTGAGCCAAGGACTGACCAGTGAGTAAAAACACTAAATAAAGTAAATTTTGGAGCCAGGATGTGCTGTCAGAGCAGGGTCAGCCACTCACTTTGCCCCTGTCGAAGAAGGAGATGATTTCTTGGTAGAGTTTTTCCTTGAGCTCCTGCTGGGAGTAGACGTAGAAGCTGTCCCTCTGCATGAGGTGGGGGGCACAGGGCTTCTCAGACCACTGCACAGAGGGAGAAAGGGCAAAAAACTGCTCATTTTCAGATGAATTAATCCCTCCAGTGGCTCTCACAGGGCTGCATTCAAGACAAGTCCTCATCATTGCAAAGGAAGCTTTGCAGTGGTATAAGCTGAGGCATATTCTCCCAGTTCCCAATTATTAATAATAATTGATATTAATAATGTTTCATTTTATTCATTCCACTGCTGTGCAATTGGAAAAATTCACAGAGCTCCTTAATGACCTTGGTGATGCAAAGTCACGTTGAGGAAAGAAAAGGGGGAAAAAAAAGGAATTGTTTATTCTGAGCTGTTTGTATTTTCTTTAGAGCCCCCAACCCTGGCAGTGGGAATTAAAACTGGGTTTAGTGGGATACCTGGAGCAGCTCTGCATGGAGCAGCAGGGTGTAAGCTGCCTCTGTGAAGTTCTCACAGTCTGTGTGCAGGTCCCGGAGTTTATAGAGGTACCTGGAGGAAGGAAAAGCTGCTGGGCCTTGATGGGAAGGAATCCTGTGTCCATGTACAGAACACCAAGGGAATCCAGGCTTTGGGCAGGGTTATGGAGGGAAACAACCCACCTGATATAAATGTCCTCTCGCTTCTTCTCCTTATAAAAGTTCTGCCAACAGTTAGAAAAAGTCAAACTTACAATGTAAAGCACCAGGGATTTGCATAATTATCCCCAGACAAGTAACTTGAGCATCAGTTTTAGATGTTTTAAAGATGTTTAGTGCCATTTTGGCTGCTTAGAGCCATATATCCCTGGTTTAGATATATTAAAGATCTTTGCTGTTAGGTGCACATATCCCTGTAACCATCCTTTTAACACAAGGTGGGGTCACCATCACCTCCAGAAAAGGGGCAAATCACACAAAGTGACTCGTCCAGAGCTCTTGGCAGCAGAACAGGGACCCAAACTATCAACTAGGCATCTTTCCTGCCCCTATTTCAGGGCTCCAGATTATCATCTGGCCAAGGATCAGCCCCAAGACTCGATTTTGGACTGTACCCCTTCCTGTGTTCACAGCTCGAGAGCCTGACTTGGGCACATCCTTAACCAGAACCGGCCCAAAGAACGAATTCAAATCATCCCCCCAAACAAAACCCACTTCCTTTAGGATCCCCCAAATAACCCCAACTCCTTCAGGATGCCCAGCAGCCAGGTGAGGAGTGCAGGCCCAGCCTCCCCCCTACCAGCACGTTGACGGTGCAGCTCATGCGGTTCTCCTTGCTCTCGTCGTGCATGATGGTCCTGTAGTCCAGCAGGTTCTCCAGCAGGCTGCTGACCAGCAGGGCAAACACCTCCCCAGGGGCAGCCAGGTATTTGTGCTTCCTACAGTGCTCCAGGAGCCTGCAGGGACACCCCAAGGCAGCTCAGTTATGGTCCTGAGTGGTGGTAAATCAAATTTTGGGGTCAGCGCTGAACACCCGCCCCTGAGAGACCCAGGTCAGGCAGGTCAAAACATGATTTGTTGAGCAAAAAAAAACAGGTTCTTGGTGCTAAAAGCTCTGATTCTGATTTAACTTTGAGCCTGCTCTTCTCAAGCTTTTCCACTTTGGCACCTGACTGTGAGTTTTGGCCTCCCAGTTCAGGGCAGTTGTGCAAGTTGCTGCTGCAGAATAAACCCCTCGTTTTTGGGCACTAAAACAGCTGCACTGCCTCCCACCTCAGTGGAGCAGTGAATTAGGGTTTCCTTGCACTAGAAAAACAGCCAAATAAACTGTAAAAGAAATGTCTCTGTGTTCTGTATAAAACTTACAGTTTCTCCAGCAGGATCTTGTACTGCTCATCCCCTCGGCCGCCCTCCACCTCCTGGTCCAGCTTGGTGATCAGCTCGTTTTCAAACTGAAAAGGCAAAAAAACACCCCCAATTAATCAGGGAGCAGCTCTCAGGGGTGTGAGCTGAGCACCAGCAACGCTCCTGGCTGGTGTTTCTGTCCCCACCCCACCATCACTCACTGGTTTTACAGCCCAAGGGAGAGGATCCTTCCTTTGCTGGAGCAGAATAAAAAGGGTGAGAGGCCAAAATGACAGGAGTGGAGCAAGGAGATAAAAGTCCTCCCTCTCTCATCCTACAAAGTCATGCTCTGGTGTCACACTCCCCCTTCTCCCCATCCACCAGCAGATCAGTTTTGCAGGATGGAGAAGTTTCCAGCTCACAGAACTCACCCTAAAGGAACCAAAGTGCCACCACCACTTGATTCCAACTACATGAAGAGGTGAAAGCTGCTCAGTTAGTAAAAACTGGGGTATTTATTCCTACTTTTGGGGGATGAGTGGCTCTGAAGTGCTCCCACTTCCAGAAAAACCAAAGTGCCACCACCATCACAAACACTGGTGTTCCTAATTAAACCAACTTCTCATGGGGCCAGAACCAAGTCCTGGGGGATCATCTACACCCTGGGATGTGCAGGGCAAGGAAACAGTCTCACTCTTAACTGTTCCCAGTA